TTCCATGAGAATCCTTATAAGCTTCCAACAATCAACTTACAAATGCATTCTACAAATATCACTTTTTTATTTTAAAAAAAGGAGGCTACATGTTTATTCACCAATTGGTTAGATTTATAAGAAATAGATATTATTCACACTATTTTATGGATATGAGAACCCAGGCACAGAAATAGTAAATGATTTCCTTGGTCCATGTAATGAGATCAAATATGAACCTAGAATGAAAGATTAAATCAGATTCTTAATACAGTTATGTTCATTAACTGTACATCTCAGGCTAGGAATGTAACTCAGTGGTAGAGTACATAAGGCCCTGGGTTGAGACCCCAACACTGAAAAACCAAAACCCAAAACCATAACCTACCATAAAACTAAACCAAACAAAAAAGAAATACAACTCCACAACTGCAATGTAGCATGTTACAACAGAGTGAGATCCTTCTTTCGGTGGGAGTTAGGTAGTATCTACCTACCACACAGTGGAAAATCAGTTGATCATGGTAAAATCTAAAAATTTAGAAAATACCAAATTCAAAGTCTCCAGAAATCCATCATGCCACTATTACTTATTCTTCAAGAAGACCTATGTGAATTGGAATGGAGTTTTTGAATTTCAGACTGTTTTACTTCCTAAGGAAGCCTAAAGACAAACTGTGAACTTAGCAAATGCAAGAATTTAGGAGCAAGATATCTGTAAGTGATAGTGGTTTAGAGAACTATATTTATAGTCTGCCACCAGAAATTTTTTGCTCACTTTTTAAACTAAATTCCAAATACACACATTATACCCTGAGGACTATTAAGGTCATAGACCCGCTTTTAGAATTAGACATTGAAATGCAGTTCCAAATGATTTCCTATGTTCCTTAGTACTGAATGAGAACTAATGATTCTGAATTGTTATCAGATTTAAAAATAAACAAAAATTGGGGTCAATGGAAAAAAATTTACTGGCAAATTTTTACTTGTTACTACATATCAGGGGTCTGCATTGGGAATAAGGGTAGATAGTATCTAGAAGGGCATCTAGTTAGCATATAATTTTTATCCCATATTCAAAGATCTTTGTTTAGCTCTCTAATTTAGCCTGTTCTTACTATAACTCTTAGCATCTGCAGTCTAGGACTAATTCCTTTTATCTTAATGAAGCTGATAAGTCACTACTTTCTTGAATCACTACTTTACTGTAAATATTTTACATACTTGGGAAATCATTAACTAAATTTCTTTCATTAACAGGATAACCACATTATTTTAAACCCTCCCTAAACATTTATCTTTAGATTTGTCTTTCCAGGGCATCTCTTATGACTTTGAAAATATCTTCCAACACTTGGTACTACCTTTACATGAGCTTCATAAATACCCAGCATTCATTTCTTCAAACACTAATAAAGTTTTATTGGTAAAGAACAACACTGTACCTTGAAACAACATTCTAGCTATTGGGGTAACTGATCTCATTGCTTACATTCTAGTGGGAAAATGTAATAAAACAGTAAACAAATAAGTATCAGACTGAAGTTAAGTGATGTGGGAAGAAAAAAAAGTGAGAGGTGGGAAGGCCTCTTGTAAGGTTGTACTTGATTTGAAACCTCTAGCAAGGCAGTGGTCTTGAAAAGACATGAAAAGAATGTACTAAGTAATTTTTTGACTAAAGAAGGGTTAACTCATTATTCTGTTATGTATTTATATGCATTCTTTATGAATTATATAATCTTGCACTGCTCCCTAGTAAATCTTCCTCTTCTTATTTTGAAGACTAATTCCACCTTTTAAAAGCTTTTCATTACCTCCTTCACTGGTATATCCATAAGAGTAAGAAGCAAGCATGTGTTTCTAACTCAAACAAGTATTTCCTAGAAATGTTAGCCAATATTCAGCTTAGGTGTTCCTGCCAAATAACATTTGATAATGATTTTAAAAAAACTGAAAAAAATCTTTGTCTTACTGAATAGGCTAAAATGAGTCTTCTAGAAAACAATTTGGTGGATACTTTATAGGTAAAACAGGTTGAAAGGAAACTGGCAGAGTATGACTCAAACATAACATGAAGTTAAAGGCAGGATGAATGATTGATGGGTCAGTGGAATATGGTAGTAGTGAAAGAACCTAGCAGAGAAGTTGACAGGTCATGAATATGGGATGAAGAAGAAAACAACTAGCAAGGCTGGGAAACCCTTCCCTAGAATACCAGCTCTTTGAGGCATGCTGCCACCACCTGGGCAATAGGCAATTTTGAATTACAGTATTAACAATTTTAGCTACCAGTTAACAATTATAAAATGAAAAACATACTTTGATTTTTATGAAATAAGCATTTTTGTCAAGTCTTTGAGCATAAAAAACAGGGAGGAATTTTGGTGAGATGTGTTTAGAATCCTGCTCTATTTTTTAAGTTCTGGTTCCTCCTCTGTAAAATATGGGCAATACAGGTCTGAGGGGTCATTTATAGTCTCAGAATTAGTGATACTAAATCAAAAGCATCTAGCTCAATACCATTATAGAGTATGCACTCAATAAATTGTTTTGAAAACTTTCAACTTTTCTTCAGTATAATCTTACAAATAGCACTAAACCCTAATTACTCCTTTAAGTTACATAAATATGCCTATAAGAAATGTATTTGCATAATGTTTCAAAGGAAAGGGAAAAAAACTCACAAAATAACACTTAGGGAAGAAGTCAATTTCATTAGAATTAAGTCAAATAAGTGAAGAGTTACGGCAGAGAAAAAAGCATATGTGCAGGAGGGAGTTCTCAAAGTTTTTAAATCAAATTATTATTAAAATATAATGTTATTTAGGTTTCACTCCTTCACAATTTTGACATGTTAGGGTGAAACATAACTTTATATCTACTGTGGGAAAAAGGCTTTTAAATCAAACATATGGCAAAAATGGTATTTGGAAAGACATTTGAGAAAATAAAAGCCAGGTCAAAATCTTCTCAAAAAAATAATAAGACTTTAATATGCAGTGATATTTCTACTAAATACCTTTATTATGCAGCTGTTTATGAAGCTTAAGTCAGAAAAAAGGCCAAATATGGTCTGATTTACAGATTTTTTATTTTGTAGTGCTGGGGATTGAACCCAGGACTTCTTCACACATGCCAAGCAAGCACTCTACCTTAAGCCACATCCCTAGCCTCCAATCTACAGATCTTAAAGCTGAAAGGGTACTCCAGCTCACCTAGGATCCTTTCCACATATGGAAGAGGTTCAGAGTGATTTATCAGAGATTGTATAAAGATCAGTGCCATGACTCACAGACGAAGACTACTCATTATAGAAAGCAGTTCACTGTATCTGAACAATTTTTATCACCACCATTTGTTAAGGTAAGGCAGAATGCAGTATGGAGCTACACTGTGGAAATCCTCATGCTTCTGGGCTAGCAGTCTGCCCTGTAAACTGAAGCTAGATTAGTAAAATTAGACTGTGAAGACATGATCTGGGTTACAGTCAAAAAGAGGCTTCAGAGGCTTCCTCCTTACAGGTCCCTTTCTTTTTGTTTAATATTCCTGAGCCTTTTACCAAAGAGGCAAATACTGGGAGGCAGTACTTGAGAAAACTAAGTCCAAGATTAAAATAAAATACCCACACATTGGTCTCTGAAGTGAAAGATAGTGAAATAATAAACTCTGACCCCATTCTGGATTCAGTACTTGGGCAAGTTTTAAGAACAATAAGTCGTACAAAGTTTCCTGCTACACAATCCAGTTACTGAATCTGCTTTTTCTGACCACTAGAGGTACAGGCTAGGTCCAAACCACTATCCAGGTTTTCCAAGAAGAATGAATAACAACTGCTGGTAATACAACATACAAACATTAACATATGTTCAAGGAACAGTATTTTAGATTGTTAAGATTATCTGCCAAAAGCCTGTTCCTTAGTAAATAATAGTTACTGTTGTACCTAAACTAGTTATACATGTTGCAGCTTGCTCCTCAAAGAGAAAATTCTATCGTCTTTCAAGTATAAAAACCAGCTTTATTTGGCACACAACAGTGAAGAGGTCTTGCAACATTTGCCAGAGGTAGACAAACAGAGCAAGCAGTTCAGTGCAATCACAAAATTTGAGCGCCAACCAAACCAGAGCTAATCTTTCAGTTCCTGTAGATTAGAAGACAATATTAACTCACCCTTTCTGCTTGTTGACTTTTGCATCCCTTTATTTGTGTACTGAAAGAACAAGTACCTCTGTGGGAACTCTATGCCCTGACAACTTAATTATTTATCAAGTTTACTTTGGGCAAATGTTGATCATTCTTTTGTTAAATGAGTTAGGCTCTTAAATTAAAAACAAACAGACAACAAAAAAACCCCTTTCCCACAGCATGGCAGCATTTCCCCTTATTAACAAGGTTCAGTGGATTCATCCTACCCCAGCTGCTATTTCCCCTCCCGAATAGGAAGACTTAAAATTGTGCAATCATGAGAGGGGAACCAGGTGAGTGGTGAACCAGGCAGAACTATCCAGTCTTTCAAGGATCTTCGAGGGGCACTCGCCCTGACTTTGGGGCGGTGTGTGGGAACTACCTCCTTTCTTGACGCTTCCCTGCGGCCAAAGATATCACCACCAGGACCTCCACCAACGGTGCAGCTTCAGCAGGAGAGGGAGGTGTTTCCCGACTCATGTCGGGGGCACAGGCAGGCGAACCTATCAGTTTGGGGCCCGCTCCCGAGGCAGCCCCACGCCTTCTCGCCCACCTTCCATTCCCCGGCAGGAGGCCCACGTTTCTGGCCCCCGGGGGAGCCCAGTGCCACCGCCCACACCGCACGGCCTCACCTGCCGCTCCCCGGAAATCTCCACGCCGCCCTGCCCCCGCCCCCCACGTCCTCTGAATGGAGGTCCTGGGACCCACAGCAATGGCGCAGCCGGAAACTAGCCCCTGGACTTCCTCACGCCGGACTCGGAGCTGGGGCCGGCCTGTGGGCGGTACGCAAGGGACTCGACTTCCGCCTTCCTGCTTCCGGTCTGGCGGTGAGTTGGAAGTGGGAGTCCGCGCTTTGGGGGCGATGCAGAGCGGCTGATGGCTGCCTCTGTATTGGTGTCCGGGTGTCGGGCAGAGGTGGCCGCAGCGCAAGGTGTGGCGCGGCCGACCCGGGTTCCCTGAGTCCCTCTACTCTGCGAGCCCTCCCGGCCTGAGGCGGGGTGAGGGCCTGCGCCCGCTGGGTCGAGGGGCAGGGGTAAACGTGGCTCCCACAGGCCCGTTGCGGGAAGGAAGGAAGGAAGAATGAGCAAAGGGAATCCTAAGGAAGGAGGGCAAGACAAAGGACTGAGTATGGCTGGCTGTCCAGAACCACCAGCTGCAGCTTCAGGCGCCAGGCAGGGCTAGCCGGGAGATGAGCCCCATCAATCTATTGGGCGGAAGAAGAGTAGTATCTGTTCCTTACAGTGTGAGGCCTGGGCGTCTGGTATGATATTGAGGTGCACTAGAGATGTGCGGCCTGTGGACGACAACGCCTTTATGTAAACAGTAAAACTTTGTCATAAACCAGGTCCTTCGCCCTGGCTTTACTTTGAAAAGTTCTTTTGCTTATTCACTAAAACTTAAATTAATTAGTGCATTACTGGGCTGAAGAGGGATCGATTTTAGTAGAACCCGGTTCCAATTATGGGTGGCGACGTTTTGAAGTCCAGGGCTAGTGTATTTAATGTCATGTATCTTAAGTTGAAAATAGAGGCATGATTTTTGTTGAAAATGAGAAGAAACTGGAAAGATGGATTTGAAACCACTGACAGTTTATTTTTGCGTGATGGTATTGGGGATAATAATTAGCTTTGTTTATCTTTTCTGATTTTCCTAAAAAAGGACACGAATCGCAATAACAGTTAAAAAAAATACCTTTGAAGAGTAAGGCTAGGTGTTTGATTTTTGTAATGATGTACTTAATCCATTGAATGAATGAATGAATGGATGTCAACCTTTCTGGTATACAAGGTTCAAGTTCTAGGAATAGATATGGTGAAGTGAGCCAGCTTGTCTTACAAGTCAGTGAATATCATAAATAATTTTACTGAAATAAATAATTCAGTAAAATACTTGATTTCCAGTAATTAGGATTTCCCTACAGGGAATTATAACTGTGTAAACTCAGATTAGGGAAAAAATATTTAAAAGTTTGTAATTGACAGTTTTACACGTTATAGAATTTAGAAATTTTCCATGTGAAATCATTACAGTTATCCTGAAAGTTCTGACTTAAATGTTTTATCTCTTCTCTTCTACTTATCCATTTTATAGAATTTAATGCTCTCAGAAGTATACTGTGGAACCAAAGAAGGCAAAACCACCAAGGGTCATCTGAAATTGTGCTTGGCTCACTGATAATCCCCGGACAAAATCAGAGATCACTACTCAAGCATAAGGTAGATGATTTTTTTTAATCTTAGCAGACATTTTTAAGTATATTTACACCCATACCCTACCCAGGTATTTTAATTCTCCAGTTTGAATAGAGATTAGCACAAACATGAAAGGTACAAAAGCCTGTGGGCCGAAATAGAATTTAAGGTCACCCAATCCTTATTTGCCAGATGACTTCCCTTATCAACAGGAAAAAGGAACAAAATGGATGGCACTTTTTATGATAACTTTTTTCTTTTATTAAATTGTTTATTTCATTGAGTAGGGGTCTCCAAAGCTGAAAGGGCATAAAATAGCACACACTTTTTAGCTTATACCTTTTGGCATATGAATGTAGGTATCATCCTGGCTCCCTTGCCTTTTTCTATTCCATTTCAGGAAATAGCCATCTATCACTTTCCTTCCCATGGGAATGTGTTTCATGCTCTGGGGCTTGTCCTTTTTTAAACATAAAAATTTGATTTGTACTTTTGTTAATTACTTGGTAGTACTGAGGATACATTAAATTACAAACAGGATTCAGCCGTTTCCTGAAATGAGCATGTGAAACAGACTCTTGTAAGTGTGCTGTTAAACAAAGTTTATCTTGAATTTAGGAAGCATATGAGAACCTAGTAGTCCTTGTGACAGAGTTCAAATAATTTTTACTTTTGTTTCCTATAAATTTACGTCTTTTAAGTGTTACTATTCTGGCTGCAGGTAATGGCACATGCCTGTAATACTAACAACTGGGGACACTGAAACAGGAGGATCACAAATAAAACGGGCTGGGATGTAGCTAGGTGGTAAAATACTCCGGGTTCAATATGTAGTCACCTTTTCCCTCCCAAAAGTTGCTATTCTGGTTGGCCTAGTTGAATTTCCCCCCCCCCCCCTAACTGGAGCTATTAGTCCTTATTAAAAATAGTACTAATTTGTACTTTAAAAAAATTGAATGATAATGGAATTGTGACTTAACTCTGTAACTTTTTTCAGAATTTTGATTCATCATACAGTCTTTTTCCTGTTGTCCATCCCCAGCTGACCCTCCAGTTTTCCTAAGACTGCTACAAAGATGTTTGACATAAAGGCTTGGGCTGAGTATATTGTGGAATGGGCTGCAAAAGACCCATATGGGTTCCTTACAACAGTTATTTTGGCCCTTACTCCACTGTTCCTAGCAAGTGCTGTACTGTCCTGGAAATTGGCCAAGATGATTGAAGCCAGGGAGAAGGAACAAAAGAAGAAACAAAAACGTCAAGAGAATATTGCAAAAGCTAAACGACTCAAAAAGGACTGAAGGAATGAATAGGCTCTGCAACCAGAGAAAAATCATTTGGAAAATTATGCAGCTTTGGAAGGACTCACTAAGGTTTCTTTGGATTTCATGATAGTATTATTTAGTAAATGAAATGTGATCATGTAGAAGAATCATGTTTTGACCTCCATACTGTAGTTTTAGGCTTGGGTACCGAAGTTTGTTGGTATCTACTGGCAGTTATAAATAAGCATACATACAGGTTGAGCATCCCTAATCAGAAAATCTCAAAATCGGAATGCTCCAAAATCCAAAATTTTTTGTGCATAAACATGATGCCACAAGTGGAAAACTGCAGTCAAACACAAGTATGCTAAAAATATATAAAAATACCACATAAAATTACTTTCAGGCTATACGAAACAAATGAATTTTGTGTTTAGACTAAGGTTCTGTCCTCAACACATCTCATTATGTATATGCAAATATTTCAAAATCTGAAAAAAATCAATTCTGGTCCCAGACATTTCAGATAAGGAATACCCAACTTGCAACACAAATTCTTCATAGGTGACTAAGTCATTTACCATTTTGCAGCTTTTGCACTGAAATGATTATGGAGAAATGAGTTTAGATTGTGAACTTTATTCAAATAGTGGCTTAAAATGGGATCCTGCTCTGAACAAAGCATGTTAAGAATATAAGACAATTATCCTTTCTGAGGTGAAAAGTTTGTTCTTAAAGGAGATACAGTATATTAATCACATCTTTCATCAATGTACTCATTTTTGGATTTCTTAAAGTAAAATAGTATTAATGAGTATACAAGTCTGTTTTCTTCATTTTTTTTCTGATTTTAGCCTTTAAGTAAACTGGCAATTATCAAGACATCTCTCATTTTTAAAACCTAATTTTATAAAGAATTATCTTGATTATGTAGAATACTGTCTTCTGGTTATAACAGTCTTTGTACTTATGAACATTGCCATTTTCTTAAGAGATGTGTTGTTGAGAAGAATGACACTATGATTTAAAGCTTGTAGTAAAAAGGCCAAATACTGTAATATCTTGGAACCATTTTATTTTTGTGTTATATAATACAGTGAAACAGTTAAAAAGTTTTATCAGGTAATTTGTTGGTTATATAGATGGCACTTTTGGTTTTATTCCATTCTTATCTCATAGGTAGTTATGTCCTGTACTTTTTGATCCAAAAAGTTTGAGATAAAAATTGAAATTTCATATTTTTTTAATATAGTTAACAGCTAAGCTATAACTTCTTCAATGGTAAGAAAGGCTTAAAATTTGGGAAGATTTTGACGGGTATAGTAATAATTGTACAAATAGAATAAAATTGTATTCAAAATGAGAATGGTATAATTGAAAGTACAGAGCTAAAGGATCTTTCAGTTAAGTAGTATAACTGGAACTTTGACTATTAAACATGGCTTTTCTAAATGCATGGTCCAGTAATTTTATTCATTGTATTTAATAGCTTATTAATGTTTCTGCACCTCTGAGAATGAATACTAAGTAATTGTCCAACAGCTCTCATTTTAAAATGAAACCAGATAATGAAATAAATTTGATACTTTTATAAGAGGTCCTGGGTTTTTGTCTTTTTTTGGGAGAGAATAATAAGATATGTAAGTTAGACTTTCAAAGGGTTATGAATTTCCATTGTACCTAAATGTATTTATAAAAGCTTAGGACAGTGTTTCTTAAATTTGAGAACCTAAGGATTTTTGAGAATGGTATGGACTAGTTTCAATAACACTTAATGTTATTTTTAGGTTACCAGTACCTACTTGAAGCTAGTATAATAGACACATTATAACGCCAGACATTGAAATAATTCAATGTTTAATTATGAGCTGGTTGTTCAGGTGATTTAGGATATGCTTTATATATTATCTTTAAAATTAAAACTTGCTTATACAGAACTCCTGGTCTTCATGAGTCTGCAGAGCCCATTTTAAGAAAAACTAGGTTAAGGTAAATCCAAAATATGTTAGGGTGTCTATAGTTAAGCTGTTCATTGAAAGAATTTATATACATATTTTGCTTATGGAATATTTTAGAGTAATAAAAGCATTGAAGCAAAGAATGTGGTCCTTATAATTCTCACTTCTCTTACTAAAGCTGTGGTTTCACTGGTTCTGTTGTGACAATTATTTTTCTGTGATTTGTTAAAGTTGTATCATTAATTTTTTATTTTTTTTTGGCATAAGCGATTTGTTTTTTCTTCAGCTTTTCTCAACATTTATAGAGCTTTTTAATGGTGAATTCAAGTTTTTTTTTAAAAAAATATATATATTTTTTAGTTGTAGGTGGACACAATATCTTTATTTTATTTTTATGCGGTGCTGAGGATTGAACCCAGTGGCTCACACATGCTAGGTAAGCGCTCTACCTCTAAGCCACTACCCTAGTCCTTCAACAAGGTTTTATAATATTTATGTATGTTTGAGGAAGAGGCATAAAGCAGAGAATATTGTGAAGTTTGAGATTCTAAAAAAAAAAATTCCATCTTCTCTCACCTTAATAAACACTATTTTTAAAAAAATCCCATTTATCCAAAATACAACTTTTTGTTTCGTTTTGTTGACTATTAAACATGGCTTTTGTAAATCGAGGACTGAACTCAGGGACACTTGGCCACCGAGCCACATATCCATCCCTATTTTGGAAACTATCCCCAGATTGCCTCTAATATTTTATCAGAAATATATAAATAGAGGGCTGGGGTTGTAGCTCAGTGGTTGAGCGCTTGCCTCGAATGCAAGAGGCACTGGTTTCGATCCTCGGCACCACATAAAAAAAACCAAAGATATTGTTTCTGTCTAAATCTAAAAAAAAAATAAAAGATATATAAATAGATTGTGTGTCAGAATTTGACTCATGATATCCACTACTGCTGTATCAGATGTGTAAGTGCATTTTTGAAACTTATGTTTCTTTAAAAATGGACCAACTGAAAATGAGCTTAGGAAGCTTTGGACAGGAACCCAGGACTGAAATAATTAACTGTGCCTCATTCCTCTGTCATTACATGTAAAGGAAAGTGGCAAGGGACACTGTACATCTTAACTGGTTATAAATGAGAGGAAACTTGATCCTGTTTAGGAATTATTGTTATGTTTGCATATGGTTAGAGGAAATCACTGATTTAGTTAATCTGTAGAATATATTTAAGGACAAGTTCTCCATTTCTCAAACATAGGAAAAGATTCCATGGTCAGATACCTAAAGTTTGGGAAACACAAGCAGAACTTGGACAAGTTTTTTTTCTGCATGATTTCTTGGAGTCTTTAACCTAATATGACTGCCATTGTACTTCTTTTTTCCCCAAAGAACATAACACAGTTTGGAAAAACCTAATCTAAATACATTCAGGTTACACTTTTAAATAAAAGAGGTAGCATTAAAAAAAATCAATATAGTGATTTTGATTCAGGGTTAATTAAGAAATAGCAAGAAATCTGTTAGAAAAATGGAAAAGACTTATTTCCTCCATTTTTGTTGGTTTTTATACACTTTTCTTTTTTATTACTACTTTTTGTACTAGGGATTGAACCCAGAGCACTGTACCACTGAGCCCCATCCCCAGCCCTTTTTATTTTTTATGAGACAGGGCTACACTAAGTTGCTGAGGCTGGCCTCAAACTTGTGATCCTCTTATCTCAGCCTTCTGGGATTACAGGCATGTACCACCATGTCTGTCATTTTGTTGGTTTTTAACTTAAAATACATAAGGCATAGCTAATTGGCTAGATTTTAAACCTCAGAGACTTTTTTTTTTCACTGCAAAGTTTGTGTAATAATTAAGCCCAATACTGTAAAAACTAAAAATATGTGTATAGCATATATAACATAGGCATAGAAAGCCAGGAAGGACTGGCTCTAAGAAAGTATCTAGAGTATTTACAATGTTATTTAATTATGCTAATAGGAACATTTTTAATTTTGAGACTAAAATTTTTAAACTATTTTGAAAAACTATAAAAAAACTTGTAAATGGCCAAAATGTCATTATTTTAAAAATGAAATATGGTGGCTAAGGTAATATTTAATATTTCAATTATACTTTGCAAGTGTTTGGCCTTAAAGCTAGGTATTTTTTTAAAAATATTTTTTAGTTATTGATGAACCTATTTATTTATTTATTTATTTATTTATATGTGGTGTTGAGAATTGAACCTAGTGCCTCACACATGCTAAGGCAAGCACTCTGCCACTAAGCCACAACCCCAGCCCAAAGCTAGATATTTTAAAAAAGTTGCTTGGAAAGGCAAAACTTAATCAGGACAAGATTATAGTTCATTTTTAAATATAGAACATCCCCTAAAAATATCCTCTAACAATGTAGTCATCCTACACACTTGCCTGGAGGAGAGGAGTATGGGTGGATTATTATGACCTTCATTCCCACCTCTCAAAACTGCCTTGACTTTACATGCTCTACTAATTGTGTTGGGCCAGTATCATCATTTTATTTGAACATAACGCAGTTTCCCACAAAGATTCTTGGCTAAGATTTTCTTATGTTGCTTATGTAAAACAGGTATTTTAAAATGAAAACCAAAAATTAATGTAAATTCTGCCATATGCTAAGATATTTAAAAACACTATATGGAAAACATTTGCAAAAGATGCACATAGGATGAAATTAATAAGTTAATAGAAATTTGGCAGTTGAGACACTCTAGCATGCTAAAAGTATTTACAATTTTCTTTTCAAGCCAGGATTTAAGAACATGTTAACTGAGTCCCAATCCAATTATTACTACAAATTGTAACTTCTTTTATATTACCTAATGGCTAGTTCCTTTTTTGTGGTAAAATACAGTACTGCTTGGTAGTGATCTGACAAGACAAAATGTTTAACCTGCTATTAACAGGGCTGTTGGAACACTCAAATTATCACCTAGGCTCTTTTGTCATTCAGTATGTTATGGTGATTTTGTCAGTTACTTTTTTTTTTTTTAGTGTAAATGCTTTATAAAATAGTTGTATTTTTCTATAGTTATTAGAATTTTTACCTTTAAGTAAACATTTCAGTGTATGTGGTTTTAGGAGTACATTATTAATATTTAACCAATGATTTCCTTGCATTATTCAGAGCATAAAAGTTTGGGTTTTTGTTTAGTGAATATTTATTAAATATCTACTCTACGCCAAACACTGTGAGATAAACTCTACATTAAAATAATGAAAACTTAGTTGTGCATGCTAGAAAATGACCCTTTGAGAGTACTTTTGCATGTTGTCAGTGTCATCTGTCTACATTTTTCTTCAATATACAAACCACTGATTCCCAGCTATCAGTGGAATTGCATTCTGCTTTGAGAACTCGTCCATGTTTTTTTTTTTTTTTTCAAAGTAAATTTCATTCTCATGGAACTCCAGTTATCCCATTTCTCTCTTTACTGTCCTTTAAGACTTCTATGATGGATTGTCTCCTGTTGGTCCTAATTCCTCTCCAAACTCCAGCCGCAGTTTAACCATAAGGTAGTTTTTGTCCCATTTTCTCAGCAAGGTGGTTCCTTTTTTATGAGCTAAATTTCTTTGCATTTACACATTTTATCCAAGTTCATGTTTTTGATTAGTCCTTTGGAATTTTTTTTAATATTTATTTTTTAGTTTAGTTGGACACAATACCTTTATTTTATTTATTTTTACGTGGTGCTGAGGATCGAATCCAGTGCCTTGCACATGCCAGGCAAGTGCTCTTCTGCTGAGCCATAACCCCAGCCCATAGTCCTTTGGAATCTTAATAGGGTACATCAACAAAAATAAAAATATCAGTTTTTCCTTTTATATTTTATCATTTGGGAGAGCCACTACCCTTATTCTGCCAAGATATATCCTTCCACCTAAGGATCCTATATGCACTGAGCATTCACAACTACCTGAACACTCCTTAGAGTAGTAATCTAAAGAAGGGAAAAGCAATTCTAAGCTAATTCATGAACAAGATGAGGACTAAATCAAGTGTAAGATTTAAGGCTAAAGAATTTACACTTCAATGCTTCATAATCTCATGTTACTTATGGGTACTAAAAATGAATTCTTAAGCTAGAATACAGAATTATTATATACCCAGAAAATATAAAGTAACCAACCTTTTATTTGTTAAAATTGCTATATCCATGTAAATTTAATGATTTCATCAGTGCAATTCATTGATTTTGGCTCTTGCCATCTTGTGGCATCCAAGATCCTGGCTGAAAGGTTTTACCAGTGCTGGTGGGTGCCTCTGAGGGTTCTTCCTTTCCAAAGTATGGAGCAGATGCATGCCCTTTAATGTGAGTTTGAACAGGTGGAGGCAAGTGTTCCTTGATGGTCTCTTTACTAAGGAGTTTTTCTTTTTCATAAAAATCTTGACTTTTAATTTTCATTTCTTCTCTATATTTCTCATTCTTTAATATTTCCTGCACATATATACATATAAATAGAAAAAATATTAAGTTAAAAGCTTAAATACCAAAGAAAGGTTTTATGAAAACAAAAGTCAATAAAAATAAAAAATACGTATATGATACTTGCTTTTTCAATTAAATTTGTGGATATATACAGGATAATTTTTTAAAAATTTGATTATCTGTTAAAATGATTCTCATTTTATGTTAAGATTTTATGGTAGAAATAGACATGAAGGACCACAGAATAGAAATATTTTCTATCCCAAAATGGAAATAAGCTATTAAACATGAAATATTACACAGGAGCATAAGTCACTTAATGAAAGAATTTGAAAGATTATCAACTATTTTCTGCCTTAAAATTCTTATTTTGTGGGAACTAAAGTGTTAATGCCAAGGCCACCTTATGGTTCCAAATCCAAGCCATCTTATCTCCCCTTCTTTAGAGTGATAATGGCAGAGGATAGGAAAGAAATCTGAGTTCAGTATGCCCTGGACACTAGTTCCAAAGGCACTTTGCTATTGGAAATGCTTCCTCAGATCAGTACAATCTGTGCAGTGCACTTCTGTTTCTCAGATTTGCTATTCTATCTAGAAGGATTTATACCTAAAGTAACAATTTCTTAGCTATTTTACTAAACACAAGACCATCGCATTTAAGAAGCGGCCTTAAATGTACCACTAAAGGCATTTAAGCTTCTGTATTCATCCTTGATTTCAGTGATGCCAAAATTTAAAAAGATGTGCATCTTAAAAACAGATGAAATGTTTTTCTTCTATCTATCTTGATTATTTTTAAGTGAATTTAAAAAATTTCAATACCTTTATTTTATTTGTTATTAGTTGGTGCTGTGGATCAAACCTAGTGCCTCATATGTGCTAGGCAAGTGCTCTACCACTGAGCTATAACTCTAGCCCATGGATGAAAAATTTTAATGTTGTTTTTGCTTATCTGGGTTTTCTGATTTTTCTTTAGGAATAAATGTCATTTATAATACAAAAAAATTAGAACATTAATGTAACTAATATCACAACATTGAAAAAAACAAGTTCTCAAGTTTTTAAAAAAATTTACCACTTTTAAGAAACGACACTTTAAAGGGCAACATCACAGCATCTATGATGTAATCTTTCTGTTTCTAAAGTGAATTTCAAGTAGTATAGTCCTTTAAAACCATAAGCACCAATATTTAAAATAATGGGTTGAAGTTAAGAGAAGGTGGCGTATGCCTATAATCCCAGCTACTTGAGAGGCTCAGGAGGTGGATCTCAACACCTGGGCAACTTAGTGAGACTGTGTCTCAAAAAGTAAGAAGGGTTGTAGCTGCAGAGGAGGTAGAGAGGGAAGATGCGAGGGGAGGGGGGGGATAGTAGGGGATAGGAAAGGTAGCAGAATACAACAGTCACTAATATGCCATTATGTAAAAATGTGAGTATGTAACAGATGTGATTCTGCAATCTGTATTTGGGGTAGAAATGGGAGTTCAAAACCCAATTGCGTCAAATGTATGAAAGATGATATATCATGAGCTCTGTAATGTTTTGAACAATCAATAAAAAAATAAATAAAAAATTAAATCTATTTTAACAGATATATAAAAATACCAAAAAAAAAAAAAAAAAAAAAGGCTGTAGCTTAGTGGTAGGGAGTCCTGGGATTCAATCTTCAGTATTCTCCCTGACATGTGAACAAAATTAAAATTTAAAAAATTGCTATAGTGTTATAGACTTATATATGAAGGATGGCCCATCTAATGAAATTTCTCCCTCAAACATATGAGGAAAAGAACAATATTTATAAATGTTATTGTAGTTTTCACAATACAGAGCAAATCCCCATGCATAGTTTAATAACCACAGGAAGTTTAGGGGCAGCTGCTAACAAGTGAGGGTGAGAGTAGAGAAATCAGGCTTTGCTTTTCTTACACCATATAGAACTCTTACGTAAGGTGATTTTACACAAAGGTAATCCTTTCCTGTGATATTGGAAATAATGCAAGTTAGACAAGAATACTTTTTTGGTATTGCCATGCTTTTCAAGTTCCTGTGTCTTCATATGAAGCTCAATCTGGGGAGCAGAATGGAAGGTTCAGGGCCAGGTTAAATTTACCCTGGTAACTGATCTCAAGTAGCAAGAGGCTACTCAGGCTGACATGGAGCTTGCTTAATCTTGGCAAAATAACATCAGTCACATCCCCCAAAACTGTGCCCATGCCTACTCTATTTACTTCACCACCATTGCTGCAGTTGCATTGTTGGTACACAGACGTGCCCTCTGAATAACGGGGGATGGGATGTAGCTCTGTGGTAGAGTACTTGACTAATTTACATGAAGCCCTGGATTCAATCACTAGCACCTCAAATAAATAAATAAAAAAGAAAAAAGCGCCTCTTATTTCTCTTGCTTTCAAATAATATTTCTTTATTTGACATTACTTTTTAAAAAATATTGCTTCTAGTTGTCAATGGACCTTTATTTATTTATTTATATGTGGTATTGAGAATTGAACCCAGTGCCTCATGCATGCTGTTCATCTGCAACTAAAAAAATATAAAACAAAAACATTACTTTTCCAACTCAATTTCTGTCTTATAAAACAGCTATTTAAATAATTGAAAAGCCACTAATGATTATGGTGATCATTTTGACATGTGCAGATGGATTAAAGATTGCAGAGTTGAAAAACATGGAGACTATACTTTTTCCTAGAAAAATTATTTATTATTTTTTGGTATCAGGAATTGAACCCTGGGATGCTTAACCTCTAAGCCCCAGCCCTTTTTATTTTTAATTTTGAGATGGTCTCACTAAGTTGCATTGGGCCTCACTAACTTGCTGAGGCTGGCCTTGAACTTGTGATGCTCCTTTCTCAGCCTCCTGAGCTGCTGGGATTATAGGCATAAGCTGCTACAATGGGATATTATTATTATTTTGTAAACTAAATGCTACCAGGCAGAACCCTACTAATAGCTTTTAGGGAAATTAAACAGAACATAAATCATTTATAAAAGGAAATCTAATTTTGTAACCATTTGGTATTAACCAATGAAAGGAGGAATTATATTAAGAAAGTCTATTTTAGCATGGAAACTACCCTAAAGCAAAGATTTTTTTCCTTAGAATTCCTTGGAACAATATCACCTCACCTTGTCTCCATGTATTTATCAATTAAAAATTTCAGTTTCTTTATGTTCTAGTGTTTTGTGTAGGGACAAATCAGAAGCCAGGGGATCTTTCTTTATAGTTTGTATTTTAAAAACACGTTTATCATTTTACCTATTGCTTTTCTTCCTGTCAATGTTTTTTCTTAAACTTAAAAAAAGATGGCTGTTGACATTTTATCACTTTATATTGTGCCATGATTTATTTAACAATTACCCTATTTTTTCCAATATTTCACTTCATTTAAAAAATAACATTGTGATGATTATCCATGTAGATTATTCTTTGACTCAGGGTTCCAACCCAAATCTACCTTTCACTACCTGTGTGACACCAAAAAAGTCACTTAACTTTCTCAATACTAATTTCTTTCTTTGAAAATGAGGATAAAATTAATTGATAACAGTATTATGTTTCCTAAGATTGTTGACAATATGTGACAAGGTAATTATGCTTTTATAAAAATACAATGCCAAATGAAGTATCTTTTTTCTTTCTATTCCCTTTAAGTAATCTCTATAGAGTTCCTTTAAAGATTGACAGGTCTATACAGATTACAAATTCTTCCATATTCTAATGTAAGCCAAACATTACTATTGGTTTAAAATTATGAATCTTTAAAAAATGTGATTATGTATGTATTGGTGTTTACACTTAAAATACTCATTAGTTACTCTTTCCATTGTTAAGATTCCTCTGAAAGCTTTTCAATGGTAGTTAAGAAAATGGGGTCTGAAGTCAGATTACCTGCATACAAATCCCAGTTTTTCCATTTTACTAGCTCTGTGACCCAAGGATTATTACTTAACCTCTCTCTGCTCAGTTTCTTTATGTGTAAAATGGAGATAACAATACTGTATTCCTCAATGAGCTGCTGTAGAGATTGGGCAAGAACTGGTGGCTGGGTAGTGATAGTACAGGTCCAAAAAATTTCCATCATTGCAGAAACAGAAACTATTGGACTGCACTAATCTAGATCTATCCTAACAAAACTTAAAAAAGTTTGGGCTAATACATATGCCAATTAATGGTTCTCCTGAACAAAATCAATATTTTCTAAAGGAAGACAACAAAGCCAGACATTAAACAAAATAATATTTCAGAGTTCATCATGCAAACCAAGAAGCAAAAAGGAGAAAAGTATGATTGAAAATCAGTTAATGGAAACAGATTCAAATAACAGAAATGACTGAATTTAACAGATTTTATCAAAATAAAAATGTTCAAAGATTTAAAGGAAAAATGTCCATTAAGAGGAAATAAATGGAAACTTAAAAAGAACCGGGCTTCTAGAAGTGAAAAATAAAATATATAAAATGAAATATTTAATGGAGTGATTAACAGATTAGACACTGCAGAAGAACAATCTGAAAATAAGGCAATGGAAGATATATAAGCTGAAGCAAGTAGTTTTTTTTTTTTTTTTTTTTTAGCTTAAAAACTGAACAGAGCCTCAGGGAGCTTTGGGACAGTGTCAAGTGGCCTAACATGCAAATGGAGTCACTGAAGAGGAAAGAATGACTAAAAAACCCAAACATATAAAAATATAAATCTGTATATTCAAGAAGCTCTACAAACCCCAAGCAGAATAATCATAAAATCCAAGTACATCAAAATCAAATTGATAAAAACTAATGATAAAGAGAAAAATCTTAAGCTAACCATGGGGGAGAGGGGACATACACATTTATAGAAGAGACAAATAGCACTGAGTTCTCATCAGAAACAAAGCTACCAATAAGATAGTGGAATGACTTTAAAGTGCTTTAAGATAAACTGCCAATTTAAAATCCTGAATCCAGTGAAAATATCCTTTAAAAATGAAGAAATAAAAACATTTTCAGAC